GTTTGCCTAATGCCTCTGATATAAAAATGTCATTCCCATCAATAACATTGGGAAAAGTATGGCCCAAAGACAATATAGTTTTTCTCTGTCAACAGTTTCATACAGTTATCCGATTTGTATATCAAAATTTGTATATCAAAATTTGTATATCAGAGCGGACATACAGTACATGGTGAGTAAAAAGTGATACCTTTGATATTCAAATTATAACAAAGGTGTCAGTTTTTTTTTACTCACCCTGTATAATATAAAAAATTAAAACTAATGCAATTAGTAATGCTATACTAAAATCTTACATTCTTACTCACCATATGTAGATTATCTGATTCTGTTATATACAATCGAACCATGGATATTCTTTCCGTCTATTCATTTTACTGCGCTGGAACTGTATAGTAATATTTCCATTCACTGTTTACCAGCCTAAAGTTATGGATATTTTCTTCTGATTAAATAACGATACAGGGGTTTCATTTAGCCAGCCATCTGGTCCAGACTGTCAGTCCTATTTTCCCTTTATTCTTGATTGTTAATTTGTAGATATTTCTGACATAGCAATAGCTGAAAATACTATAGACTTTATCAACATGGCAAAAATTCCTCTGCAAAACAGCTGTGGTATAGAATTATTTCGCAATCAAAAAGCTTAGTGTATTTGCATATATGTGATTAGTGTGATTTCATGCATCACAAAGCTTAATTTCCCATGCACGAAATACTTTCTTTTCTTTAAATTCAATATTTATAGAAGTTTTTACAATGAGTGACAGGATGGCATGAACAATTGTGGGGTTTTCAAAACAATGAATAGACAATGGAACATTCTGATCACTGGATCATGACTGGATGGCATGGATAACTGTGGTGTTTTCAAAACAATGAAAAGACAATGGAACATTCTGATCACTGGATCATGACTTGATGGCATGGATAACTGTGTGATTTTCAAAACAATGAAAAGACAATGGCACATTCCAATCAATATGATGTCTGCATGGCACTACAGTGTGTATCAAAATAATTCGAATCCAAATTTGGCGTGTAATAACGCAGAATATATTTGACAAATTCGGTTGGTTTTTACACCATTGTTAAGTTCATTTATTTATCTTTCAAATGACATGCTGTACGCGTCATTTAGTTGGAAAATGAAGGAGTATTGCTTTGACAAAAAAGTCCATAAAAATCACAATTTTCCGCCGATGGGAATTGGACATTTTTTCTTTCAAAGTTAGTCCCACAAGGCTTTGAAATGCTAATCGTCACTGAAAACTAAAATGCAA